TGTCAAACCGGCCATACTACCGAATTTTAGTATCTAATGCCAAATTTTTTTAAAAAAATTTTAACACCAGCCCGCGGGACAACCCGCGGGGCCCGCAAGCTTGCAAGGGGCGGGCTTGGGTTGCATATCTCATAGCCCGCGGGCTTCGCGGGCCGGCCCGCAAAAATCCGCAAAAAGAAAAGCCCGCGATGGGGCGGGCCGGCCCATTTTGACAGCCCTAGTAACGCAGTCCAATGTTGTTCCCACAAGTGTGTGATCTCAGCGTCCTTTCGTTTAAACAGTGATATCTCTTCTCAAGTTCTTCATCATAATCACCAAGAACTAATTGTCTTGAGAAAAGTCATGATAATCAAAGATATGATCTTCAGTATAGTTAGGAGTGCTTCTTTCTTCTCAAAAGCGTAGCCCTAATTCTTGACCGAATGAGGGTACTTATACTTCCATAGTAAGAACACTCTCCATAGATATCTCTGATTGTAGATGGTAGGACGATATGTGAAGAATGTAATCTTAAAGATTCGGTCCATACCTTTCCAAGACAGATCTGCTGATCTTCTCTCCAAAACTGTCTTCTTAAACCGCGTTCAGTAAAAAGGAAACATCTTCCTAAAATAGATCTTCTGTGTCAGTACCTCTGTTGCTGTATCTGATCAATCAGTCTTCTGTAAAACAAACCGACACCAAGCTAACCCTATCTTAGTTTGCCATAATAATATTTCCAAATATATTTTTGGGTTTTTTGGAGCAATTAGAACACTAACAAAATGCACTCATGTCCACATTAATAGCATATAACATATAATAACAATACATATAGTACTCGGGGAAAATATTAGTTTTAGTGAACATGAAGTCTTACCTCAGAAGTCAAATTCCTATCCTATCAACACATAATAGCATCCCAATCATGATAGATAATCTGTGAATCAAACAAATCTACTACAATTATTAATAGAATTTATTTTTTTTATTATACTAACGTTGCGGAATCACCATCCACTCTAATCCATCATTATCAATTAATTATATCATTATCCATGAGAAATCGATTAACATGAACAGCATAATTCATCACCATTCTAAAATCATTATCATCATCACTGATTTATAACACCATCCTTAATCATCAACAGATCATAAGCTTAACCATCATTAAGTCAGAATAGCATCATTAACAATAAACCAACAACTTATCCAACCATGAACCATAATCATCTGTGGTGGTGGTTAGAGTGTTTCTCTCTCTAGAGAGAAGTCTCTGACTTCTCTCTAGAGTGCCACCACCATGAGTTTGGATGTTTTCCCTTTCCGGTGAACGATGAGAATTGCTCACTGGAATTTGGTTATTTGTCAGATTTTTGATTATATTAAAATAATCGGTTTTATTGTTGTTGATTAAACACCGTTTTATGTTTTGTCCAAGAGTTACAACACTGTTCATGATTTTGATTTCTCCGGTTTGTTCGAATTTCCTCGCTACGGTACTGTTCATGGTTTTGCGTTTTTCGTAAAGGATAGGGAGAAAACCAGCGTTGACCATCTCCCTTGGATTTTACGTAAACAACAAAGTCCTTTGGCGGTGGCGTTGTTTGTTTCGTCGAAGACAAGAAGATCCGGTAATCGGCGTATTCAAGAGATGCGGTCGCGAAGGTGAGATGTTCTCTTGATGGCGGCTAGTTGCTCGGTGGCGACCTGTTTTCCGGCGGATTTAAGATTTCCGGTGACAAGGAGTTATGGTTTTTCCGGTGATGTGCGATGGCGATGACTCCCTGAACCCCGATGGCGACTTGTGCAACGACGGCGACTGCTCCCAGCGGTGGTCTCATTCCAGTCGCCCTGCTCCGATTTACCGTGGGTATGGGGAAAGCTCGCTGTTGTGCTTCCGGCGATAAGTTACTGATACGATGTTATCCATGGCCTAAGGTGACCGGAGGTGAGCGATTTCCGCTCGGAGGAGACCTGGTACGTTTCTGGTTATGCTTTGTCCGGCGAATGGAATTTTTCCGGCGTGTTCGTCTCTGTTTTTTGATCCCTGTATGTGGATGGTGTTTCTCTGAAATGGCGCCCGGAGTATGGACTGCATTGGAGATGCTTGTGGATGTTCCCAGTTTCCGATGGTCCTCGTTTTTTCCGGCCATGTTGGGGGTGGTTCCGTCTGTGTTACGGTGATTGCAATGGTGGTGAGCACAGGTCCGGTATGTTCTGTTTGTTATATATCTTATTTGTGGATCTTTTTCTAATCTGAATTGGCGCTGGAGTTGGAGTGCGTTGGAGATGGATTAGGGTGCTCCCGTTCATCTGTCCGACGTCCCTTGATTTTTCCGGTCAGTTTGGGTGGATTCCGTCCATGGATGGGTGTTTCCGGCAAGGGTGTTCTGTGGCCATGGATGTTTCTGGTAATTTGTCGCTTCGCCGATGGAAGTCCGTGGGTGGTGGTGGTTCTCCGATGGTTGACCGGCGCTGGCCTCGGTATGGAAAGGGCGATGAATATGGGATTTGCGTGATTTAAGGGATCATATTATTATCTGCAAACCGCGTTGGAGGAGATACGCACGTGGGGCTTTGCTGGACGTGCATGGATTATGGTTACTGAGACCGGGTCGACCCATGACAGAATGGATTCAATGATTCAAGCTAGCGTGGCGGGAGACTTCCTAACTAGTTGGCGTGAGACCCGGGTTCGAGTCTCCATGGAGATTTGTGTTTACATTCAGCTCTTCAAGACTTTCGTTTGAGCCGTGCATGGGGCAGATTCGGAGGACCATAGTGCACAGGACCTGGATTAGTTGTGCATCCCGGATTTTATTGTTTTATTTTAAACGATTTATTTACATGCGTATTTATTTGTTTTTTTAGTTTTAACGATTGGTGTAATCAGGGGTATGCCCCGGTGTCACATGTTTTTGGACATTTGATTTAAATTTACATCTCCGATTTGATGAACCATAATCATCATCTTATTATTAATAATATACATATCATCATTATTATATTATTACCTCATTGCCGAACCATCATCAATATCTGCAGGTTCACCATCTTCATCCTCCGAAAATATCATTATGTCGCCGTCACCGTGCACAACGATAATCGTCCACCATTCTCCACCCCTTTTTTCCTAATTTTCGATCAAAGATCATCATCATCCTCTAATTAATTTTCAAACCCAATTGAACGAGAAGAGAGGGTGAGAAAACCAGAGTTTGTCGAAGAAGAGAGAGACGACAAATCGTGAGAGCGAAATAGACAGAAACAAAATAAGTTTAGGGTGAGATTAGGTTAACTTATGGAGAGTATATATATATATATATATAGAAGAGCGCCCATATGTGGTAATGTCATTAGGTGTGGTCGTATCTGTGTCGTTGAATCAGTTTAATCTAACGGCAGTGGTAATTCTGAGGATTTTCGCGTGTTTTGGTAAGTGGGGGTGTTATGGTAATTACAGTGACCATTTATAGCGGGCGGGTTCCAGAATACACCAACAGTGTTGACAACATACACCAATAGTGTAATAAAACACACCACAGTGAAGTACACCACTGGTGTATTCCCGTGTTATGGTAATTACAATGGCCATTTATAGCGGCCGGGTTCCAGAATACACCAACAGTGTTGACAACATGCACCAATAGTGTAATAAAACACACAACAACATCTTGATTAATATTTCGGTGTTTTATGACGAGTTTACCCTTGCAGTTCGCTGGGTAGGAGAATGTGCGCGAAAATAATAGAAAAATCTTGATTAATATGATTCATTGGATCTATCTAATCTAATGGCCTATAATTGACTATATGACCACACCTAACAACATGGCCACATGTGATCACTCCTATATATATATATATATATATATATATATATATATATATATATGAAGTTTTTGGTTTTCAAAAAAAAAAAAATGTAAATGTCTCTAATTCCATGTCACAATATATATATATATATATATATATATATATATATATATATATGTATATATATATATATGTATATGTATATATATATGTATATATATATATGTACATATATATATGTGTACATATATATATACATATATATATACATATATATATATATACATATATATATATATATATAAATATATATATATATATATATATACATATATATATATATATATATATATATATATATATATGTATATATATATATATATATATATATCCATGTATGCCGGATTTATCTAAGGAAATATATATTGTGACATGGAATTAGAGACATTTTACATTTTTTTTTTTGAAAACCAAAAACATCATATATTGCATTAACTTAACTCAGAAGGAATAAAAGATGGGAGGGACTCCCTCCAGACTGATTGTGCATGAACCGCTCCTACATGTTTAGCTAAGGCATGAGCAACCAAGTTGGTTCCTCTGCGTACAAACTTGATGGAATAAGCTGAGAATGAATTAAATAAATGTGAACAGGAATCTAAAATAGTGCCAAGATACGAACGATATGAACTGACGTCCCGAAAGCTATCCACGAGAACCGCGCAGTCTGTCAAAATAACAATATTGTGGTAATTGTGGTCCTGTATCCATGAAAGAGCCTCACGTATTGCCATAGCTTCGGCTAAAAGTGGATCATACGGGCAAGAGAGAGGGCCATTTATCGCTGCTATAAAAACACCTTCCTGGCTGCGCACATAGAAACCGAAAGTTGGGGCGTGTTGGGATTCGTAGAAACCGACGTCCGTAGTGCATAATACGGCATCATGGGGGAGTGATGCGGCGGCTTCATGATGCGTGGCGAGCTGCATGTCGGGCGTTGGTGGCGGCAAAGCAGCAGCACTGCCGTGGGCAGTACTCTTGATCCAGGCGGCCCAGGTACGCTGAAACGAGACACAAAGATGCAACGAGGATGGCAATGCGAGATCCCAAACCGCCATGTTCCGGGCCCTCCATATTTCGTAGAGTATTCCACATATTTGATCTTTTAGAAAACCAGCAGATATTGCTGAGTTCCCTAACTAAAGCTCCACCCACTGCATAAAATCATGATCACCAAAGTTAGGGATTTGGAGTTGTGAAATATACCACACACGTCTAGCATAAACACAATTGCATAAAATGTGCATAACATCTTCTTCAAGCACACCACAAGCAGGGCACACATTTGGGATCTCCACTCTTCTTCTAACCAGGTTAGTAATTGTTCGCAAAATATTTGTGATAGCTCTCCAAAGAAAAATTCTCCATTTGGGGGGAACCTGTAATTTCCAAATGTTATTCCACACTGCATCACATGGGGCATTAATCTCCCCAAGCCGCCTATAACCGTTCTTGACCGTATATACTCCCTTAATATCACCCATCCAGTACCAATCATCTTTAAACTCCACACACACCGGGGTCTGTAAAATCAAGCCAGCATCCCTGGGAATAAAAATTTGCGATATTAATTCCTGATTCCAAATTCCATGATCATAATTTATCAAGTCTGCCACCATCAAATCAGGATGTTGCGCAGGCTGATCTGAGTGAACAAACGGGTCTTGGGAGTCAGGCAACCAGGGGCAAGCGTGGCCTCATAAAAAGTAGTGTTAGGAAAATACCTTGCTTTAAAGATCCTGGCCACTAAGGACTCCGGGCAAGTCAACATTCTCCACCCTTGCTTCCCTAGAAGAGCCAAATTAAACTCATGCAGCCTCTTAAAGCCCATGCCTCCATGCTTCTTGGGTACACACATCCTGTCCCAGGCCATCCAGTGAATGCCATCCACCACATTGCTTTTACCCCACCAGTATCTATTCATCAGTCTTTCCAGTGAGACACATAAAGTCATAGGCAACAGGTAGATACTCATAGTATAAGTTGGCATTGCCTGTGCAACACTTTTCAGTAACACATCTTTACCTGCCATAGATAGCAGTCTCTTATTCCAGGAGCCAAACCTCTATTTCAATTTTTGCTCAACATAAGAGAAAACCACTTTCCTTTTTCTACCAATAACTGAGGGGAGACCCAGGTACTTCCCAAAATCCTCAGCTTGCTCAACTCCGAACCCATTAGCAATGTCGTTCCTGTCCCCCAAACCAGTATTACGGCTAAAGGAAATATTGGATTTATGAAAATTAACAGATTGCCCTGAAAATTCTTCATAAATCTCTAAACAATGTTTCACCTCCAAAGTTTCCTGCATGTTAGCTTTAAAGAAAAACAGGCTGTCATCCGCAAAGAAAAGATGCGAAATAGGTGGTGCTCCACGAGCTACCCTACAACCATGTATTCTTCCTTTAGCCTGAGCATCCTGCAACAACAGAGACAAACCTTCTGCACATATAATAAAAAGATACGGAGAGAGTGGATCCCCCTGCCTTAAACCCCTAGACGGGATTATTTCCTTACTCGGCCTCCCATTCACCAGCACCCTGTACCTGACTGTCCGTACACAGAGCATGATTAGTCTGACCCATTTTTCATCAAACCCCAGCCCCAACAACATACGTTCCACAAAAGACCACTCCATCCGGTCATAGGCCTTAGCCATATCCAATTTGAGGGCCGCCCACCCTACCTGCCCTAGCTGTTTTCTTCGTAGATAATGGCCAACCTCAGACGCAATAAGGATATTGTCTGAGATGAGCCTACCTGGCAGAAAGGCACTCTGCGACTCCGAAATAATATTATCAAGCAGAGGTTTCATACGATTAGCAATCATCTTGGCCATTAGTTTATATACCACATTACACAAAGCAATAGGCTTGAGATCCGCAACAAACTCAGGGGCTGCCTTTTTAGGTATTAAAACAATATTCGCATCATTCAACTCTAGGGGGGAAGGATGATTGAGATAAACAATTAAGCACAAAATCAGTAACATCCTTACCAACGAGATCCTAAAAAGCCTGGTAGAAGCCCGGATTCATGCCATCCGGTCTTGGTGACTTATCCTTCCCCATGGAAAACAAGGCGCGCTTCACCTCCTCAGGTTCAAATGGACGAAGAAGATCATCGTTTTGCTCACGTGTGACACGTGGTGTGAGGGTATCCACGTGAAACACACCGGCCCCGCCACTGGACTGAAATATCTGTTCATAATAACTCGTGACCAGCAAACCAAGGCCATCCCCCTCCTTCCAAACCCCATTCTCATCTTTAAGCTTCATAACAAAATTCTTCCTCTTCCGGTACGTGGCGTACTGATGGAAAAACTTTGTATTTCGATCCGCACCCTGCAGCCAGTGTTGTTTGGCCCTTTGTTTCCAGAAAGTCTCCTCCTGCGACAGGATGCCCATCCAACTGTCTAAACTGCCCCAAAGAATCCGGGTCCATACGACCTCTCAAAGCATTCATATCCCGCCTTATAGCATCAATCCTGGAACCAAATTTTTGAAAATGGTCCCCTCCCCATTTCTTCAAACCATGGCCACACGTCCACAACCTCTCTTGCAACCCCATACCCTGCGTGTTCAACCACTGATTCTCCATCACCCCCTACATCCCTCATCCTCCAACAACGCATTCTCAAAGCGAAAACTACGTGGCCTCCGTGTTGTAGCTGAGCCATTAATATCCGGATAAAGGGCCGTATGATCCGACATTAATGTCTGAATATTGTATAGTTTGGCTCTATTATGAATTTCCAACCAAGCTGCATCCCCCACCGCCCTATCCAACCTCTCCTCTACCCAATTCGGTGTCCCCTTACTTCGTTCCCAGGTGAAAGGGTACCTGATCATGGGAATAGTCGTCAAACCGCAATCAGCAAGAGCATCCCTAAACCCCTCTAACAAACCAGCTGGATGCGGCCGTCTACCCCTCTTCTCAGATTGATAAAGAAGATCGTTGAAATCCCCTATTACCACCCAAGGAAGATCAGATGCATCCTTAAGCGATCGTAGAAGATCCCACGACTCCCTTCTCCTTGTACTTTGAGCAAAACCATAATAGCAAGTGAGTCTCTAATGATGACGATTTGGTAATGACACCACTAGATCAGTATGATTATGAGAATACTTGATTAACCGAGCGCTATTATTCTTTGCCCATAGAAAACCCATGCCACCTTTCTGCCTCACACTATCCACCCCAAAACCTCCCTCAAACCCAATCTTCACTCGGAGCCTCTCCACATGACTCCTATCCACCATCGTCTCCATCAAATACACAAAATCCGGCTTCCTTTTGGACACTAGGTCCACAATTTCTCGAACTGTCCGTGGATTGCCCAAGCCACGGCAGTTCCAACTTAGAATACTCATTGGGAAGGGCGGGCCTGATCAACAGGTCCCACCAGAATAGAAGAAACAGAATCAACCAACATCACACCCTCTTCCGCCTCCACTCTCCCCGTGACCTCCCTCACCACACCCCGTCTCCGCTTCGGATCAACCCACACCCCCTCCTCCTCCCCCTCATCCTGAAACCCCTCCCTAAACACTGCCGATACCGGCCTGGACACACTGGCCGAACCATCTCCTGCGCCCGGCATGCCATGGCGCCATTCTGCCGGTAAAGCCGACACGCGACCCGGGTGGACAACTTGCGTCCGTGAACTGTGGACAGCGCCCCCCTCCCCACTACCGAGACCCAACTCTCGGTGTCTCTGTTCCCCTTTTTGCAGCCAACTCTCTCCTATCGCCTTCGTCGGTAAATTGCCCCCAGCCTTCAAACTCGCACTAAAAGCATATTGCTCAGGTTTCAGGCCAGATACACGAGCATCAAGACAAAACTTATCCGTGTGCCCTAATTTTCCACAAAAGTAGCAAAACATATGAAAACGCTCGTACCGAAAATTCACCCATGTCCATGAATTATCTCGCAAAATCATCTTCATGCGCCTTTTCAATGGTGCCGTTACCTCAACCGTAACCTTCACCCTGTAAAATTTAGTCCAAGGCCTCACAAAATTCCTTTCATCTAAACGGACAAACAGCCCTAAAAAATCCCCCACTTTCTCCAAAACTTTATCCGTTCGGTAACCGACCAGCAAGTCATGAACCTGTATCCAATAATCAATCGTATTCAACGTTACCTGCGTAGGATGCTCACCAGGCCGCAAAGGTTGACATACTAAGGTGGCGTTCTCAAACGCCCAAGGGCCATTCTCCAAAACATAAGCCATGTCCGTGTCATGATAGAACGTGAACAAGTAAAGATTCGGTTGCACCTCGGTAACCTGTATCCCCATTAACGGCCTCCAAACGGGCGCCATTACCTGTCTCATCACATCAAACTTTACATTACGATCGGTTAGGAAACGGCCAACCAATTGCCAATATTGCTGCTCAACATCGACTGCCACTGCCGAGCTTGGGTCCTCCTCGAAACAAACCCAGTCTCTTCGTCTTCTAGCGTTATCTCCACACAACTCTGCACAATATCACGAACATCCATGATTCAGGCACAGGATGCTACGTACTGGACGTCTATGGCGATCAAGTATATCGCAAAGGTGATCTAACGAGCAAAAACGTACGAAAAATCAAGCTGAAAATTGATAAACCCTAGATACCAGGGAGAGAGAGAAAAAACCCAAGATAACAGGGAGAGAATTCTTTATTTTTTAAGTTAGGAACTTAATTCTACTATTTTACCGATATAAAATTTTTAATGTGTTTAGAGACATTTACATATATATACAGTACGTACATATATAATATAATTAAGAAGATATAAATATTAGGAGGATTAGAAAAATGCCTATATAATAATATATTATGATTAGGAGAAATATACTCGTGCACATGTTATATTAGGACTAGAAAAATATTAGGCTCAATATAATATTTAAACGTAACACCCCAAAATTTTCATTTCCAAATTTCCTTTACAATAATACTTTTTCTCAATTAAAATTTCATTAATAATCTAGCGGAAGCATTTACTAACAAAAAAGAACTGGGTGTTACCGCCACGCTCAGGTATTTTTCTTATACCCAAATGCTAAAGCTAAAAATTACCAAATAATCTAAACAATAATCCAATAACTAACTATTACAAACTTGATCTTTCTCCTTGAAAATAATCTATCACTTTGATCAAACTTATAGTCAAGCTCTCTTTCTTCATCATCCAAAATCATTTACCTGTATACATATAATTTTCAAGATATACAAAAATAACAAACAAAGTTAGCACACTTTGCTAAGAAAACACGGTGTTAAACTCTACCCTCCTTAAAAATACAGTTACGTCCTCGTAACTTAAAAGAATACCTTATTAAAATAGCTCAAGAATAAGTAATTACGCGCTAACATCATCAACTTTTACCATAATAAATCACGTCCATAAAATCACCAATTTCAAATATTTTATTTCAACTATAACATAAAGTATTACTTCCAAATTTTTCAATTCTCACCGAGTCATATAACACCATCTGCAAGTATTAGCAATCATACAAGATAGACATGAAACAATTATACAACACCACAAATCCTTATTGCAATTTTCCAGAATTTTAAATTCCTATTCAATTCTATTTTCTTATATCCTCAAAACTTAACAACCTAGGCTCTTATACTTCCCATATCCAAATTTTAATAGCCTAGTCTCCCAAGGTTTCGAACTGCTTTGATACCAATTTGTAACACCCCAAAATTTTCATTTCCAAATTTCCTTTAAAATAATACTTTTTCTCAATTAAAATTTCATTAATACTCTAGCGGAAGCATTTACTAACCAAAAAGAACTGGGTGTTACCGCCACGCTCAGGTATTTTTCTTATACCCAAATGCTAAGGCTAAAAATTACCAAATAATCTAAACAATAATCCAATAACTAACTATTACAAACTTGATCTTTCTCCTTGAAAATAATCTATCATTTTGATCAAACTTATAGCCAAGCTCTCTTTCTTCATCATCCAAAATCATTTACCTGTATAGATATAATTTTCAAGATATACAAAAATAACAAACAATGTTAGCGCACTTTGCTAAGAAAACACGGTGTTCAACTCTACCCTCCTTAAAAATACAGTTACGTCCTCGTAACTTAAAAGAATACCTAATTAAAATAGCTCCAGAATAAGTAATTACGCGCTAACATCATCAACTTTTACCATAATAAATCACGTCCATAAAATCACCAATTTCAAATATTTTATTTCAACTATAACATAAATTATTACCTCCAAATTTTTCAATTCTCACCGAGTCATGTAACACCATTTGCAAGTATTAGCAATCATACAAGATAGACATGAAACAATTATACAACACCACAAATCTTTATTGCAATATTTCCAGAATTTTAAATTCCTATTCAATTCTATTTTCTTATATCCTCAAAACTTAACAACCTTGGCTCTTATACTTCCCATATCCAAATTTTAGTAGCCTAATCTCCCAAGGGTTCGAACTGCTTTGATACCAATTTGTAACACCCCAAAATTTTCATTTTCAAATTTCCTTTACAATAATACTTTTTCTCAATTAAAATTTCATTAATACTCTAGCGGAAGCATTTACTAACCAAAAATAACTGGGTGTTACCGCCACGCTCTGGTATTTTTCTTATACCCAAACGCTAAGGCTAAAAATTACCAAATAATCTAAACAATAATCCAATAACTAACGATTACAAACTTGACCTTTCTCCTTGAAAATAATCTATCATTTTTAGCAAACTTATAGCCAAGCTCTCTTTCTTCATCATCCAAAATCATTTACCTGTATACATATAATTTTCAAGATATACAAAAATAACAAACAAAGTTAGCAC